CGCGCTGGCCGGCCGCTGCCGGAGCCCAGGGTCCTGCAACCCGTGTGGGCCTCGGCCCGCTGCGAGGATACATCTCGGAATTTCTAAGTAAAGGATTATTTTTCTACTATTTATTGAACTTTTCAAACACTCTCGGACTTGGGGAAAAGGCAAGGAAACAGGCCAGGTGTCCACCACGGTGCCGCTGTCGCTGTCGTGTGACGAGCGGGCCTTGGGTTCAGGTTTCTGTTTCTTATTTAAATGTCCTCAGCCCACTGCTCCACAGAACAGGACAATGAGGAAATCCCGCTGTGACTTGGTCCTGCCTTTCCCAGAAGCGTCTTCACCCATAACGCGGTGTTCTTCTCGGAGCCGGGCCCGTGACGGGTCCCACCGGTTTCTAGAGCCGTTCGGTTTCTCTGCCCTCCGTCTACCCTTCCCATCCGCGCCCTCTTAGGTTTCTACAGAATCTAAACCCCAGCCCCAGCCTTCCCCTGGGGCGTGGGATGTACTCTCCTTGTTTTAAAGACACGTGTTCTAAAGGGTCCCATTTCTGAGAATTGAACACAAAGGGAAGTCGTTTTGAAATTGAAATTTGGGTTCGTAATGAAAGATTGCTTTGAAATCGTAGTGAAAGCAGCTGCCAGGTATCCGGGAAGTCTCCACCAAACTGCTTCCGGTTCAGACCAGGAGGAGGCCAGTCTGGCTGACGGGCCCTGTCGCCGATTTAAAGTAGAGTTCTAATTGCAGTGGTGTGTTTTAGATTCACATCTGTGACTCAACTGTGTTATAAAGACATTCTTGCACCGCGTGTGTGGCAAGCCTCCATTTATATGTAGTTGGGGAAAAAATTCACTGAATAATGTTTTAATGATAGGGTATCATGATATAATGTAAAAAAATTGGTCCCCCAGCAGTACAGAAAGTAATCTGTGTATGTGCTACCCAGAAACCCCTTCCCGTTGTGTATAAAACTGCAGTCTAGTGGAATAAACTGTATGCAGCAGTCAGTCCCAGCGTGAGTTCTCGGTGGCCGCTTCTGTGTTTACGCCAAAGCTGAGATCTCCTCTCTGTGCTGTGGGCCACTTCCGGCCTCTTAATCAGCTCCAGCATGCAGAGCAGTGTGAGCACGGAATGAGGTAAAATGTGGAACACAGCTCCCCCTTCCCGAGCGGCTGAATCTGTGTCATTGGTGTTAAATACTCATTTCTGCCCTGAGAGGTTGGAGGGGTTTCCCTGTCTTCCTGGTACCGGAAACTCCGTGAACACTTACTTCTTTTGACTTGAAAGTAAGCATTTCTGTGTTACAAAGCTAACTTTTTAAAATTCTTTTTATTTTGGGGGGTTTTTGACACAGGGTCTCACTCTGTAGCTCAGGCTGGACTTGAACTTGCTGCGATCCTCCTGCCACAGCCTTCTGGGTGCTGGGCTTGCAGGCGTGCGCCACCACACCAGGCTCTGCAGCTAACTTCTTAGTTGAGAAGAGTGGAAGGATCGGAGTGGAAACAGTATTTTCAAGAAAAGAAGCACAAAGCTTGGAAGAGTTTCGGAGCACACTATGTACCGTCAGTCCGCTGAAATCCAGGAAGAAATTTACTTGGTAACTTTTGCAAAACTCTTTATCCTGCACTCCCGAGGGAATAATGAACGCTTACACCTGAGCAAGCAAACAGAACTGAGTTTGAAAGATCTGGTGGCTCGCCTGCAGGTTTGTGAGGTTGGGGTTAAAGTTTGGATCTAACCAAGCTTGGTGACATGCACGTCATCCCAGCACTTGGAGAGAAAGAAAGGCTGAGGCAGGAGCGTCGAAAGTTCAAGCCCAGCCTGTACAACTTAGCAAATTGGCCAGTCTGTCTGGGGCCTGTGCAGGCGCTGGGCTCAATCCCCCACACCACCAAAAAATAAAACAAAGTGATGTTCCACGGGACCCTTACCTTCTCAAGCAAGCGGTCCGTGTAAGTGGAGACAATGAGCGGCATGGGCTGGTGTTTCTTGGTTATTGTTGCTTTGGGAAACCTTGGTGGCCAATACCAGCTCGTCTGGCTGCTGGTGGCACTGCGTGCGGAATGCTGTGCACATTCCCACGCTTTGCAGACAAAGCTAATCCACAGCCTGGGACCGCGGCAGCCTCCGAGGCAGTGGTTCCTTTGCTGATTCGATCTGGGTGCTCAGCGACGCGGGACTGAGACTCGGACCTCAGTCAGGCCAGCTCCCCGCAGGCTTCCCGGACGGCCCCGTGCATCCCGAACCCTCATGGCCTTCAGCGCCCTGATTTTTCAGTTTAAAAAGTTAAAAAGTTTTCAGGTTGAAGCTCTTTCCACACCTCTCTTATGAGGTGATCTGTTCATAACTAGGGGCCTGTGCACACATACGTGGAGATCTGGAGATTTTTCTCGTCTACTTCCAACTTCTCATCAACCGGCAACTGTATCTTGAGGCCACTGACTAATCCTTAATTTCTTTATTTTATAGTCTTGTCAAAGCCTCTGTGCCGAGGGCAGAGTACCTCACGCCCAAATTCTGTTCCCGCAGCTAAAACCTTCGGACCAGAAGGACAGTGTTCCGATTACAACCCTATATTTTGTCTATTCTGTTCCTAATTTGAGAACGCTTTGTCTTGTCCTTTACGAACCTCGCTTACGTTCGTCTCCGTAGACCACACATCACCTTTACCCCAGCTGATCACCGGTGAAGTCGGTCTTCCCAGTGCCGCCAGCCTTCTCCTAGTCTCTCAGTGTGTTTGTTTCTCAGGCCTGCACCGCACACCGGGCCGGTGGGGACTGGAACCCGACGGCAGGGGCCTCGGGCGGGCTGTCCTCTGACCTCCCCGCCGGAGCGCTATCTGAGTCGTGCTCCTTCCTGTCTGCCTGGGGTGGCCGGGCACCGAGTCCACAGAAAGCCAGGCGGCTGAGTGAGGCCCGGGCCCGGCGCCTCTGGTCCTGGCTCAGAGTCAGCGGGGAATTCTCCACCTCCCGCCTGGGCCCTCACGAGGCTCCCGGCTCACTGAGCCGCGCCCCTCGTACGTGTGCACACGCGTGTGTCTGCATGGCTAGCTTGCCTCTGGCTGCACCTCCGCCGGTCAGTGGCCTCTACACCGCTTCCTCCATTGTCTCCTGTTCCTCAGCCTCGACAAACACTCATGTGCCGGGCGATCCTTTGTCTGTTCTGCATCTTTCCTTCGGCTCCTTCTTTTCTCTCTCCTTCTGAGTAACTTTTCTCATTGCTGAGACAAAATACCCGACACCAAGGTCAAAGGAGAAAAGCTTTGTTGTAGTTCACAGTTTGTAGGTTTCAGTGCACAGTTGGCTGGGCTCCAAAGCAGGGAGGCATGGCAGGCAGGTATTGCAGGGGAGAAATACTTCATGGTGTACAAAAGGCAACAAAGCATTAAAGTAGCGAAGTAGCAAAGCAGCAGGGATGACAGCAGCCCTCTTTCTGCTCCTTATATTCTACCCGGGCAACACACCCTTAGGGCAGGTAGCACTCACACCCAGGT